GTGTGCTGTGGAGCGAAAATTTCAAATCAACCATCTTGCCCCACTTTCCCCTGATCGGGGAAATCATGTCAAACACGTGAGCAAGTGCACTCGATACCTATCTGCAGATAGGGAACTACGCTTGTACAGACAGGGAAGAATTTCTATTATAAAAGCCCTGTTGTAGTACCCACGCTCAAGTGGATATATTAAATAATAATTGTAAATAGTGAACAAACATTGTTGGGTTGAGTTCACGGTGGAGACGTTCTATAACAAGCAACGCACAATGGACATCTTGTACGGCGACAATGTCAATCGCTCGACTTAACAAGTGTTATTTCAAGTAATTTAATGTATTTGGACCGTATCACTTATACACACTAACATATCAACGTCCAATCAATCATTGAATAGAACATATCAAGCTGAACATTGCATTAGGTCCTAAGTAACATTGACATATTCTCTTCATCGATTTTCTCTTTGTATTCCCACGGTCATGTAAAGCATTCTCAGGCATCTTCAGTACACAGATCGAAAAAAGAAGCTTTTATCTAGCATCGAATACGACAAACACAACCAGAAACGAAAGAGAAAGTCGACGAAGAGAATAGATCAATGTTAATTAGGACCTAGTGCATTGTTCAGCTCTAATCGACGGAAATTATGGGACATTTAGGATTTAGTCAACCGGATGTCGAGTGTGTACACATCTAAATTCTATTGTCGATAGGAAGACAGACATCCTCCACATCGCATTGGTTAGTAAACCCGTTTTCAATGGGCAATTGAAGTGTGCCATAAAAGTGTGGGCATTTTATTTGTTTAGTGTACACTACATTGTAGCGATAGGGCAAAATCTTCGGTGCGGGAAGCTCAAGCCAAACAATGGATTGGGTCCTATGTAACATTGATCGATTATCTTCATCGACTTTCTATTATTTCCTATAGCTATAATTTAAAGCGTGTTCTCAGGATAACTCCAAAGGAATACTGAGGAAGATTGAGAAAGGAACTTCAAGGGGATTTCGAGAAAAACATCAAAGGGATCGTATTCTGAGGATATTGAAAAAAAAAATTGGAGGAGAATCGAAAAGAAATTCGTAAGGGAAGTTTCAAAAACACCCAAACGAGGAATTCAAGTGATTTCTATCGACAATTCAAATAGATTTCTGAGGAGAGATTTGAGATTCTAAAACTTTGTTGAGAAGTGTTTCAAATAAATCGTATTCTCATAAAAGTTGCAGGAATTTGAGAAGGATTCCAAGGAAATGCTTTGGAGAGTTTCATCGGAATTTCAAAGAGAATTCCAAGGTAATTAAGAGGATAATTCCATTCCATTCATTTTCTATAAAACAATTTCCAATTTTAAATGATTCACAATTGGTTAATACTAAACCAAGGGCTTCAGATAGCCTAGTCAGTAAATGGCACGGTTTTACTAAGTCGGAACCGATTCCCGGTCCGGTCGGGTATCATTGTACTTGCCACACAATATACGAATTAATGCATTGGTTGACATAGAAAACCCTCAATTAGCAACTGTGGAAGTGAATTTAGAACACTTAGTTGAGAGCCAGCAAAATGCTTGTTACAGAAGCATTATAACCTAGAAGAAGAATAAGAAGTAATATTAAACCAATTAATCATATCGTCTGGTCATTTTCCACAGAGGTGGCGCTCTTCCGCTGGTAGGAAGCGATATAAATTCCCATATAGAATTTGAGAGAAGTGGGAATAATTCGCTTTCGGTGCATATTCAGGTCAAAAAAAGTGAACGACTACCTAAAGAAATTAGTCAGGGACTTTGTCGTTCAGTTTTTTTTTCACGGAAATTATTGTTAAACAAGCTACAATAAAATAAAAATTAGTTTTCCCCATACAGCTTTACCTGCTTTACTACCAGTCCCCAGAGAGCCAAAAAAATCAAATTTGAGAGAGAAAATTCGCTTTCACGACCTCAATTTCTCAACATGCCATGTATTTTGATAACACTCGATTTGTGATTTCCCTTTCACAGATTACAAAATAGAGTACCTGACACTACAAAACATGTCTGGTACCTCTATATATGCATTTAGATTAACATTCGAAGTCCCTCCTTTTTTACATAAGATTTTTTACAAAAGATACTTTATGCCCCGCCCCATTTTTAAACATCGGCGGGAAATTCTATGAGGGGTGAGCTATTTTGTGTGCAGAATGTGTAAAAAAGGAGGGACTTCGAATATTAATCTAAATGCATGTATAGAGGTACCAGACATGTTTTGCACTGCAGTGTCCTCTGTGAACAATTATAGGAACACAGATTGTGTGTAGCTTCCGATAGATGTCGCCGCAAATAACAGCAGTGACATCTGATGAAACATGAATGCAGAAGCTTGACAATTAATTGAAAAAGTAACACTACATGCAAAGACAAACAGACGTAACTCTTCTTCTCAATCGTCGCATATTCATTTAACGTTCAATTTTGGCCATCGGATCACTTTGAAGTTTCTATAAATCCTATCGAACGTGTATGCAACATTGTTTGAGATTTGGCAAGCAAGCTTTTTTGTCACGAATAGCTCGTGAGATGTCGTTAGTGAGTTCCGTGACGATATTTTTAAAGAACATTATTTAAGGAGTTACGTCGGTTTTTTCTATGCTGCTATCTAATTAAAAAAAAACATTCACAATAAAAACCCAAAATGCAGTCTATAATTTAAGTGATCGTATGTAACGTTTATTGATTTTTCCCTATTCTTTTCCCGGTATTGCCGGATTTCTTTTCAGATTCCTGGTTTGACCGGTTCGCTGGTCACCCTGAAATATGATAAAGATTCTATGCTTGGTGCTAAGAAAAACTATGGGATTTTAGAGGTTCAACAGTCGTTTAAAACCTTCTAAATAAACAAACAAACAGAACTTTGAGACTAAATAGTCCGATTTAGACCTGGGTTTAGGAACGATGGTAAGATCGCAGAAGAAAAACAAATAAGACCTAGCACATTACTAAATAGGCATAGGTGTATTTGAGTAGGAAAAATTATAAAGATCATGTTTTTTGAATCACCAAACCTTTTTCTAAATTGGAACCAGCTGACAATTCTCAATTCATCAAAACATTTCCGAATCCTGGTACATAAGATATATCAGATCTTGGACTTTTGATAAAATATTTAAAAATTCTAGTAGGGGGAATGGCTCTAATATTGGCCTATGGATTTAAGATTGGGCCAGTCGCGAAAAATCTGTCGTACCGTTCCAATGACGCGTTCATCTGGATAAAATTGATAAATATTTTATCCAGATGAACGCGTCATTGGAACGGTACTAATGGATATTTTTGGTCGCTATTGAAAATTTGGTCGATTGCTGAATTTATGTATGGGCCCAAATTAGGGGCATTTAGGCCGACATTACATCCATTTCTCCTATAAGATAAATTTTTAAGATCCTATATAACATAAGATTAAGTGGATTGAACCAATTCTCAAGATTCTGATGATTGAAAAACAAATTAGGATCCTGTACTAAGAAAGCTATTCAAGGTCTCTAATTTAGGTTTAAATTCGAAACACTGGATACAGAAAGAAAATGAAATTCAAGAATAAAGAAAAAAATATTCCCGAGCTTGGGAAGATTTCCAAGATTCTGAGTCTATAATATTCGATATTCATAGAAAAAAAAACAAAATTGTGGTACTCCCTGCAATTTTAGAGATCTCAGACTCAGACACATTTTCAGATTTGAATGCATAATTCATGAATCCGCTTCATTGGATATCTATCATGGAAATATTTGCCATATGCGTCACGTAGAATATTTTGGTCGTGGAACTTTACGAGATCCGGGTCGTTTGCTGCCATTTCGGAACCAAGTGAGTGCAGAGGTGACGCAGTTTGAATTCAAAATGTGTAAAGTCACCCCATTGGACATCGATTATGGCTGGATTTGGTTGGTTTGTTCCAGTTCGGTAGTTGCGATTAGATGCGTATGTTGAGTTTGGAAATTCGGAAAGGGTGTATGCGTGATCCAGTTTGACAAACATTGTTAACTGCTTTCGAGGACGTCACTTCATTTGAATAGCTTTTTGTTAAGTCGGTCGTGGTAAGTGTGGTAATGCAAGGGGCGCGGTGGCTATAGAGCAACCGTTTTTGCTTATTGAGCAGAAGATCATGGGTTAGAACCCAAGCCTCGATACATTACGCAGTTGATCTATCCCAGGCCTCTATGATTGAAAATCGTGAAAAATAGAACTCCGTGGAACGATTCGGAAAAGTAATACATATGTTTAGACAAAAGTGACGTACGCCGGTTCGAAAGACATTGTTAACTGCTTTCGGGGATATAATTTCATTTTAATAGTGGTGTTGAGTAAAGAGCCTGAATTTATAAAGAGACGACATCTTATCCATTTGACAGGTCTTCTGCTCGATTGGAATGACTTTTCGTATGACTTTGACAGATAGTCGATTGTTCCAATTTTGACATGTCGTCTCTTTATAAATTCAGGCTCTTTAGTGTTGAGTACTTGGCACTGATGAAGTCTGCAAGTAATAGACTAAATAAGCGTATATGTCAAAAGATAAGCAATAGTAATGGAATTTAAAGGAAATAAACCAACACACTCAAAGCTTTTCTTGTAACCGCGGGATTGGTAGTGCTGATGCGATATAATAGTAGTGACTTTAGTGACTAAAACTACAGAAATAGTGATCAAATGGTGACCTTTAAATAATAAATAAGTAACCAATAGTGACATTTATATGATGACTCCGAAATTCAAATAAGGTTTAATATTGGAATAAACTGTTTTTGTCATGAAACTTAAAACTACATTTCATCAATTCCTCCAATTATATCTAAACTCTCAACGGAATCTCCTATGAAGAGCACTTGAAGTGATTTGTATAATTTCCTTTTGATTGCGTTATACATGATGGCCAGCAAATGTTTTTATGTTACTGGTTGAGCGTTACATATATTTCTGCTTAGAATAATCTTGGACTTTTCCCCTGAGTTCTATGGGAAATTCAATCCGTATCCTCCTCAGAATTTCCATGGTATTTCCTCAGAATTTTCAAAACAAAAATCCATCCCAGAATACCCTTGAAGCTCTTCGAAGAATTCCTTTGAGATTGAACCCTCAAAAGCCGATTCCATTGGAATTCTTCTCGAAATTTCTTTCGAAATCTTTAGAGTTCTCTTGAAAGTTTCCTCAGAAATCATTCCAGAATTCTTTAATAACCATCCGCACGGATCAACTTTGGAGTTCGCGGGATTTACATGGAATTCTCATCGGAGCGCTCTTAAAAAATGTCAGAACTAGTTTGAATTCTTATTAGAATTGACCCTAGAATCCTCATCCAATCATCATAGAATTCTCTCAATTATATTGGAATTATTTTCAGAATTGTTTCGGAGCTGAATTTTGCACCTTTAATAATTTAAACAATAATCAAAAGCAACGCTCGTATGTGCCAGTTTCAGGGCTTGGTTTTTCACATCCGTTTACCTTAAACCAGGTTTAACTGTATGGGTAAACCTGGTTAAAGATTTGAGCGGACGTGAAGAAATCGACCCTCAGAGCACTCAATTTAACATGAGACTTTCGTAGTCTGTATTTTGCTATTCTTCTCTGAAACGTCTTGATGTCATTGCAAGACTTAATTTAAAATTGTCTTAAAGTGTCCTTTGATTTTTTTAAGTTCTTGATAATTTTTCAAAGACTTCTGAAAATCTAGAACAGACAAATACCCTTGAAAAGATTCCTAGGTTTAGAATTTTTTTTTTGGAGATGGGAGGTATATTTCCCCGATTTTTTATCGAAATTGAAGGCATTTCCCAGTATTTATCCTGGTGTTTCAAAGGTTCTTGAATTTTTGCAGTTCACTGGTCATCCTGGTTAAAATTGTTAATTTTTCAACAGATATGCATGTTTTGTCATAACTACTGTAGACTTCCTGAGTGCCAAGCAGGGCTGGAAAGCACCTCAGAGCGTTAGCAAAGCAAATTCGTGTATGGATCTCACAGCACTCGACAAAGAGTGTGTGGTTCTCCCATCTACTTCGCACACTCTTTTCCAACTAATCTGTGAGAAAGCGATCCACACAATGAGCGGTACACTCCGTGCGGCGCAGGGAGCGAATATAATACAACAAGCGCTAATGTCTTCTTTGAATTCTTTGCAGACTTTGCTTACCACGACTGCATACATAGGAGATGAAGAACGGCATAACGAAGAAGAATTTTGTATGTTTGCTGGGTTTCCCATTTGCAACCATACACTGAGTGGCGCTCTTTGCTCCGGAGCCGCGATGGCTACACATTGAGCTTTTGTTATTTCTGGGTATGTGTGTGTCTGTCTTCTCTTCTCTGCTGCTTTACACTTGCGCAGGGTGGAAGACAAGCAAACTTTGTGTTTGCTTGATTCTCACTCTGTTTATTTCAGAAAATCAGTACATTGCGCACATTGAGTTATCAGATGACAGTCCTGGTGCCAAGTGCTCAATATAAAAATGGTGTTGATATTTTTCCATTTCACTCTATTTTAGTTGGGAAAAAGTGACTTTAGAGACTATTTTTAGGGAAATAGCGAAGACAACAAATCAAGAAGATTGGCAACTCTTCCATTTTCGCATACGAACGCTATGAGATAGGTACAATCGCGTCAGCTGCCGCTCAATGGTAAATGCTTCGGACGAATTTGATAGCAAAGATTACATCCTCAGACGAAGGGTTTGTGTATTTGCTCATTTTTCTATGCGTCGCTTCCACCTTCACTCAAGCGCAGCGCGACTGTATCTGTCGCTTGGATTCTGGCAAAGTTGCCAGTCTTCTTGATTTGTTGTCTTCGGAAATAGTGACTTAAGTGACTTTTTTACTGACTGACTTCAAAATAGTGACAGTCACTAAAAAGTGACCTGCTACCAGCCCTGTAACCGGTAATGAACGATCGTCGGTCGTAGTTTGTTGTGATGTAAGGGGCACGGTGGCCTTAGAGCGACCGTTTTTGCTTACTCAAAACATCGTGGGATAGAACCCAAACATTCCAATGTGAATCCAGATCTAATTCTCCCTTCCCACTAACAAAAACGTCATGTTCGTGTCAACCGTGGAGATGCAGAGGTATACTCGGTCTCTAGTAACAACGGGTGTCGAAATAACAATCCTTTTCTTCCGTAAGGACGTGGCCGGCGCCGTTATTGACCTCAAAAATAAGGATTCACCGGATTTAACACACTGAGAATGGATTGCTAATCCAAAGCTCGATTCATATGGTTCGCTTAATCTGGTCAATCACAGAGTAGCAACTACTGAAATGTATGGACGTCAATGCTCAGACTTAGACACATTTCTAGATAGAGCTGAAATGAGGGCCTAACAGCTTTTGTAAACAATGACTTCTATCGATGGTTTCTAAAAATTCATGGCTCGCATACGCAAACCAATATCCTCATCGGGTAGGGAAAGACTTCCCCTATCCGATGGTTATGTTGGTCTGCGTAGGCGTGCCTTGAGTTCCTAGAAACCATCGATAGAAGTAATTGTTTACAAAAGCTGTTACGCCCTAATACCAGCTCTATCTAGATTTTCAGATGTCTGGACTGGAAAACAAATTAAGATCCTGGGGCTTGAGCAAACATTTCGATTCTGGGACCTAGAACAAACCTGAGATCTCGGACAGGTCCTGGATTTCGAGAACTGTTCACGATCCCATGATTGTACGCCATTTCGTAGAAACCCTTTTCGCGGAATCCCATTATGCAGAATCCTATTTGGCGGAATGAAATATTTCACGGAATGCTCTATTTCGCGGAAGTCCATTTTGCGGAATTCCGTGAAATGAATTTCATTTTGATAATTGATTTACTTTTTATACACGTTTTGCGTTGATGATGACGAGTACAGGAAACTCTAAAGAACTATCTTAACTCATATTTATAAGAAGGAAAATCCTCCTTGTATTATTAAACTCAGATTTCGCGTTGATCATTCGAATCCAAAAATTTAAAAGTTTCGCAAAGTTCTGAATATACCGAATATACAAAAAAGTTCTTTAGAGCTCTCATATTTAAAAACAGGAAAATTGTCCTAGATTTATAAAACTCAGATTTCGCATTAATCAGTTTTTCCCAAAACTCAGAATTACAGAAAAAAATAGAAAGAACTGCTCATGTTTAAAAGAAGGAAAATTGTCCTATATCGTCATTATGATCAAATCCGTGAAACGGTTCTTTCCGCGGAAATAACCGGGGAAGTGTCATCCGGGCCTACGGAATTCGGGATAAGCGTGGAGCGTTTTTTAAGTGATTTTTGTGAAAAATTTATCCCAAGCAATTACGCAAAACGCAGATGAATGGCGTATCTTTGCGGCGAAAAATCGAAATTTTGTGTCAAGGCTCTTTGAATTCATCAACGAAATTGCAACTAATTGAAGGGTGTGCTCAACTGCTTTTATTTAGAGTAATAGCCGATACATATCAAACTAGACTAGATGCACGCTTTAATCAACTAAATTGACGTAGTTAAATGAAATAAATGCACAAATATCCCAATGACGCAAGTTTTCCTACTACGTAAAGTAATAATATGCTTGCAGTAGGAAATGTCGTTCTGAACCCTTTTACCAACATTCCTCAGTAGTCATAAAATTACTTTTTATGTCCATTAATCAAGGTCTGACAGTTTAATTGATTAAGCCAAAAGGGCTCTTCATTTTTGGATTTGAATTGAATTTTAATAATTTAAATATTTCGTTTGACAACTAGTTTAAGTTAATCCCCCTGCGGGTTTGAATTGAAAAAAAATATTAGAACCTACCTAACAACTTACATTCCTCAAAGCAAAAAAACCCTCTACTATTATTTCTCTAATCCTAACACAAATTTCAAAAGAATAAACAATCTTCTATCCGTCAGCTAAAATTAGTTCTGCGAATCCCATTCAGTTAATCAATGTGACACACTATCCCCACCCACTCGTCGGGCCACCTTTGCGTCCATCGCACGAGATTTTATTCCGAAGCAAAACAAACACCGCTTCCGTTCACTGGTTTGCATTCGATAGCCATTCAACAGACGATGTAGATTTCTCGCGTCCCACGGGATGGCAAATAAGGCAAATAGAGCAACCGGCTGACGTCGATCGTAATCTTCATTGCGAGAGGCAACGATTTTTCAAGGTCAATGTCAACGACGACATCGTAGACTATATGCACTATTACTACTGCGACGACGACGACAACGACTACTACTGTTGTACGTCTTAGGTACTTCCAACGACCGGTACCTACATAGCAATCCCCGCACCACTGGCAGAGTCCTGCGGAAATACTCTAAACCTAAACCTAAACATTCAAGTCTGTTTGAAAATCGGTGCGACTGATTCCAAAATTTTTCCTTAAAGCAATATTGTTAAGAAATGCTTTTAAATAAATCACCCTGAGAGGCACCGCTAGATGGGAAACATGCAGACGGCACCACACACTGCAATCAAAACTGCAGCAGCACCCCAACTACTAACCGGTGAGGTGCGGGGGGATGCAACGAAGCGGGAGAGGAACGGTTGTATATAGAGAGTAACGGCACGTGGGGAATAAATTACTAATAAAGTAAGTGTTGTCTGTTTGTTATTGTTACATTGTGGCTACAATGTTGTTCTGCACTGACTGAATATAGCATATGGCCATATCGATACTCCTTTGTACACGCTGAGCGAGCGAGCGAGCGAGCGAGCGAGCGAATGAATGAATGGGTGAAAATGAGAGTGTGAGTGACTGGTCGATCGCCGGTCGATTGGTTGGCCTTTCTACAGATAGCGCAGTGTGTCGGTTCCGATGAGGGCATCGGTAAGGCTTTCGATTCCATCGGCCAAGATGGAGGACATTTCTGTTTCCGAGCCGGACGACGTTGGGACGGCGGATGCTGCAGTTCCGTTGGCAGTTCCCGCAGGGCCACCAGAAGCCACGCTGACATTGCCGCCACCACCACCACTACCACCACCACTACCAATAGCACCGGGGGCGTTGACGGTGGCGCCGGATTGATTGGAATAGAAGGGAGCCATTTTGTTGGTGCGATCGACCGAATTTCCATTGATCAGGTAGTCACGGGACGTTTCGGGGCTGTATTGGAAAAGTGATTCACGGTTATTGTTCAGTGAGATTGGAGTAGATGGAACCGATTTGGGGAGTTCGAACAAGGACTTGGAACTGGCACCGTTGGATGAACCGAACGATGGTCTGATATTTTGATGGTTATGATTGAAGGACATTTGATGTGGGAGTGGAGTTGATGGAACGGAACGTGAAAGGCTGTTGTAGGGAACAGAAGCTTTGGAGAACATATCTTCTTGGTCTAGCATGTCGGACATCATGGGTTCAGATTGCTCCAGTTTGATCGACTGCTGAATGTTGACCGAAGATGAAGGTTCGTTAAGCATATCAAGAATGTTGTTCGGGTCAGAAAAATCGTCACACTCTGAAGGTACTGGAGTTTGCGATACGGAAGTATAATTGGAATGATTGTACGCATCATAGTTAGCAATTAATGGTACGCTGCTAGACCGGGACTCTAGCGAACCGGGCATGTTTTGGTGCGGATGCATTTGGGAGGCAGGTCCGCAGATTGGTTGGAAGGAGGGGATCGAATTTGGACAGTTTAGTGCATTTGGATTCATCCCAAAGCGATAATTTTGCGCCAGCGATGGACTTGGAGGAGCGGAGGCAGATATTTCGTTCTTCACAAAGCTCGGACGCTGATGATACCCGGAAAGTGGCAACGACGGTTGATTTTGCTGCTGTAGGATATTTAAGGTTAGTCCATTGTTGGGAGCTTTGCTTTTGCGATGTATTGGTGTATTCCTAGGACTTACAAAAGGACTAGCATTGGGTGTGCTATTCTGATGGGACGACTTTGTCAACGGAACTCGTGGTGACTGGGGACCTGCCGAGATGGGAACAAAGTCATAGTTTTTACGACGTCCGTTGGGGCTTTGCAGAGGAGCTCCATTGTTTACAATCATATTTGCCGACCCATTCCCTACATTATTCAGACATCCTTCGAGTACCAATTTCATATTAGCATTCAAATTCTTCTTAGAATCAGTACTATTACACGTATTACTATCTAAACTACTTACAGTGCTGCCGTGATGGCGCTGGGAAAGCATTGCCAGCGAAGCAGAAGCCGATCCTGGTTGAAGATTCATCTGTTGTCCGACACCACTGCCATCGAATCCATCCAGCTGTCCACATACCTGGGGTTTATCCATCCCGCTCTGGTTCATATTCTGCTCCAGCATACTGCGCAGCTGTGATAGCTTGAAGTTGGTTTCATTATCTTCCAACATTCCGTAACCACCAGCTACGAGTGATGTTCCGGCACTCATACCAGGTCCCATTCCTCCTCCCGAAGAGCTTCCCCCACCTTCATCTGCACGATTTTCCTCCGGAAAATACTGCAGCAGCTCCTGGTCCTGATCCTGCGAGTTCTCTTCCTCGCAGTTCAGATAATCATCCAACGCGTTCTTATCCATGTTACAAATGCTAATGACCCGTTCCCTGGGAATGATGAAATCCTCCTTGCTGCTGCTAGTGACCAACTCTTGCGACTCAATCAGTATCAGATTGCCCATCTCATCGTAGCGCGGTGCGCTATTGTTCTGTGCCTCGATAGACCGTTGCTGATGCTGTTGGAGGAGTCGCAGTCGCTTCTGGCGGGCTAAATGCGCTATCGAGGCAGCTCGTTTCGCTGCGGCACTGGTTGTCCGCAGCGGGTTGGGAATCATCTGCTGCGATACTGCCGATTGACTTTGGGCGGCAGCCTTCAATTGCTGAGCATGGCGCACCTTTTTGCAGAGGATGTATTCCTCGGCTGGACTTCGCATCTGCCGACTAGCCGCAGCCACGGCCGCTGCTACGAGGGCATCGTTACTAGTATCACAGTTGAGATTTGTACTTGGGTGCTGCTTCATGGTCGAGGACGTGGACGTGGTGCTAGAATTGTTGTCATCCTCGTCCGCATAGTCCGGCCGTTCGTGTTTGATTACCTGCTGGAGGACGGCAGCCGTGGCAGCACCGAGGGCGGCAGCTGTATCGTCGGTTGCCTTTGTACTGAGGGTTTGCTGTGCGTTGGCTTCTCGGGAGGCAAAGGACGCAGAAGCTGGCACCACGGACGAGTTCGTATCGGCAACTTCGGAATCCATACTCGTCGAGAGGGTTTTCCTGCGCTTCCGTCGGCGTTTCTTGAGTGCGGCCGCCTGTGGATAGAGGGTATAGAGAAACGTGAATTAAATGGTGTGTGTGGTTGAATATGTGAGCTGTATTTGCCAGTCTTCTTGATTGGTTATGCTTTAGTGTCAAATACATTCCTGTTAATTATTATTTTAGTCAGGATTTTAAGACAATACACCGATCAAATTCTTTAAGATCTCTCTACTTGAATCTTCAATATCTCAACAACGACTTCGTCAAAAATTCAATATTTTTAGAAAATCAGCCTTAAACAAGGCTGGGAGTAAGTATTTAATATAAAAGTGGTGACTTTAGTGACTTCATAATTTCAAAAAACATCATTTATAGCAAAGTGAACCGAACCAACCTTTCTCGCAGGTATGTCACCCTTAATGGTTTCATTGATTGTTATCAGAAACAAGATGCTGATGCAACGATTGTGACTGCTTCCAAATGCCTGGGACGACAAAGTATCGGACTACATTGCAACACCTTCATAGGAATGTTCATAGGCTCTGCTACTGAACGCCTTCATCCAGCTTCTGTCGTCATAGAGGCGTGGATCCTTCTGGGAGGATTCGAGTTCAACTCCTCGCTCCTGATTCCCGAGCCGCCCAATGAAGAAGATAACGCTACAGCACTTAAAACTGCGCTAGTGGCAGCGAAACTCCATTATCGGATCGTCTAGGCCCTCTAGATTCCCATCACCAGTTCACATTTTTTTTTTGTTTGACTTGTGGTGTGCACTGCCAACACTGGACAACAGCGCGCACCTGGATACACCCCTGCATCAAAAGCGACCATGTTGATTTTAGTTAGTAAGTTTGGGACAAGGGAGAAATAAACACGTTGTAAAGTCACAAACGTTTTCGATTTATTCTATCGCGGAATTCTCCTTCCGGTCCCCACATTGGTGACCCCGACGTGATATCGCGACGCGGAAAACAACGAAAGCAGATCGCTATCGTCGCAGATTCGAAAATGACGGAGGAAAACGCTGCTGTTACCGCTGGAGTTGCAGTCAAACTTCCAGATTTCTGGAAGAATGATCCCGTGATGTGGTTCGCGCAGGCTGAAGCACAGTTTGCTCTGGCTAACGTGGTACGGGATCACACCAAGTTATATCATATCGTCGCGAAAATTGACCAGTCTGTCATATGCCATGTAGCGGACTTGGTCAGGACCCCGCCGGAGGAAAACAAATACGAAACCATCAGGCAGCGTTTGATTTCTCGATTCCAAGTGTCAGCGCAAGGAAGATTGGAGCGACTTTTGGGCGCTTGCGACCTCGGAGACATGCGTCCTACACATCTTCTGGCGAAAATGCAGGAACTTGCTGCGGACCTGAATGTTACGGATGATTTGCTGAAAATGCTGTTCCTCCAGCGGATACCACCGAGTGCCAAAGCCGTTCTCGCTATCAGTGATGGTACCATCGGGAAACTCGCCGAGATGGCAGACAAAATGCTTGAGTCTCCATCGTCACCGGTCGCCGCAGCCTCCACCAGCTCCTCCGGAACAGAAGCCGTCGCCGAACTTCAAAGCCAAATTGCGGCATTGACAGCAGAAATGCGTAACCTCAAATCGTCGAGAGGTACTTCCAGAAGTCGATCCACATCGAGATCAAGCCGAGTGACAGACGACAAAATATGCTGGTTCCACCGAAAGTTTAGGGGGCGTGCTGTGAAATGCCGTGAGCCCCGTAAGTACAATCCAAAAAACTAGAATCTCGTTCGCTCGAAACGGCGGGAGTGAACGCAGCCCCGTAAGGCCACCGTATTCTGTTTTACGATCGTTCATCCAACATTAGAATTCTTATCGATACCGGTTCGGATGTATCGATAATTCCAGCAACGAACAAGGACAGGAGCAAAGGTGCAGCACTGTTCGTTTTACACGCAGGGAATGGATCAAGAATTAAAGTGTACGATAAGCGATACGTCACAACAGATTCAGGACTACGTCGGCGCTTCACTTGGCCTTTCCTCGTGGCAGATGTGGGAGTCGCTATTATCGGTGCTGACTTTCTCGCAACGTTCGGCATATTGGTAGACCTGAAACACCGGCGCCTTATGGATGGTCTAACTAAGCTTTCGTCGACTGGAGGTTTGACTGATGCATCCGTTCACAGCGTTACAGTAGTTGCTGCAGATCATCCGTTCCGAGAACTTTTGTCAGAATCTAAGGAAGTCGCCATACCGACAGTGATAAAAACAGCAGTGCAACACGACGTTACTCATCACATACAGACGAAAGGGGCACCGGTAGCAAACAAGTGTCGTCGAATGGCTCCGGACAAGGTGAGTGCTGCCAAGAGAGAGTTTCAAGTTATAACCGATCTCGGCATTTGTCGTCCCTCCAGCAGTTGTTGGTCGAGCCCACTTCACTGCGTTCCGAAAAAGACCGGTGAATTGAGGTTTGTGGGAGATTATCATAAAAAAGAGCATATCATCAAATTCCTGTGGAGGAGGACGATATACCCAAGACTGCAGTAATAACCCCGTTCGGCCTCTATGAGTTTACTCGAATGCAGTTTGGGCTATGCAATGCTAGCTAAACATTCCAGAGGTTTTCAGGGTTCACAGGGTTTTCAGCTATATGGATTTTGTGGTGGTTTTTGTGGACGACATTTGTATCGCGTCACACACACCCGAAGAGCATTATAATCATGTTATAAACGTGACCAAAAGCTGTTTCACGCAGAGTAGTGTCAACTTTCTAGGATACGTGGTGAACAAGGATGGAATCCTTCCCTTGCCCGATAGAGTCAAGGCAGTTACAGACTTTCCAATCCCTTCCACCGTGAAAGAATTGAGACGATTCCTTACATTACTGAACTGTTACAAGAGGTTTGTCGCGCACCCGTCTGATCTACAAGCTGATCTTCGAAACCTAACTCCTGGAAATAAAACAGAACGATTGTCGGAAAATAGCTTGGACCGATAATGCCAGAAAAGCGTTCGATCATAGCATAGCATAGCATAGCATAAGCGATTGCACAAATCGTGGGGGGCTATATAATGGTCAACCAATACGTTTTGTAGAAAATATCGTGTGTTGCCGTGAAAAAACACTTGGGACTAGTGGTTTTTCCCACGCATTAAAATCTACAAATCAAGCATCGCATTATACACCTGGCCACATCCTTACAATCGCAAGGGATAGGACGGAAAATTAGTCCAACATCTACTTAAGAAGGTGCAGGGAACCCATACAGGGAACATTTGTGTTTGTAGGAAATTGAATATATTTAGGAATCTCTATTCGGCAATATAAAGAAAAGGTTATGTGAAAATGTTAACAAATTTAAATGAATACAAAAAGAAAGATCTCACCAAAATTATCTGCTATAAGCCTGTCTTTCCATGTTTTCGAAGCTGTTTCATGCATTATCCTTGCCAATACTCTCCAGCAACCGTTTTCTTTTCGCACCGAAGCATAGAGACCATTCATCACTCTTTCGCCTGCGCTACTGTATTGGAAGCAAACCGCAGGATTCACAGCAGAATGCGCAGACCTTTCAGTGTTTGGAGTACATCTGATCACCAACACCATCATAGAACGATTAGAAAACCCAACACCTCCGACGCAGGCATCGATCGCTTCACTATGCCACACATTTCTGGTCAGGGAGCACACGCAACAACAAGTATGCAGATAGCGACATCTCTTCTGATTCTTGCAAACACGATGAATCACGTTTCCTTCTCGATTCGAAAACTTCCCAGAAAGCGAGAAAACCACCACAATACACACGCATAACCGTCGGGGAGGCAGAGTGCCAGCGCTTATAAGCCAAATGCAACCGAAAACAATCAGCGAACGCACGCACAAAACAGAGAGCAAACTTAAAACAGAACCGTATCCGACGGGTTTCGAAACTCGAATCATAATGCCAGAAAAGCGTTCGATCAATGCAAAATCTCTCTAGCGAAAACTGCACGTTTGCATTACCCCGATTCCTCGAAACCGTTGAGTTTACTTATCGATGCATCAAATACTGCAGCAGGCGCTGTGCTACAGCAGTTCAACGGCAGCAACTGGGTTCCACTGGGCTTCTATTCGGAAAAGTTCTCGCCGGCTCAGGTGAAATATTCAACGTTTGGTCGAGAGCTGACAGCGATCGGGATCGGTTCGTATGGAAGAACATGAACAAGGACATTAAGTTACTCGTGCAGAACTGCCTACCATGCCAACGTTCCAAGATTCATCACCACACAGTAGCTCTTCACCAGAGTATTCCTCTGCCAAATAGCCGTTTTCGACATGTTCATGTGGATATTGTGAAACCGTTGCCACCATCAAATGGCAACCGCTATCTACTAACAATCATCGACCGTTTTTTTCGATGGCCTGAAGCCGTACCACTTCAAGACATGACTGCTGAGACTGTCGCTCGGGCTATGTGCGTTATCTGGATTTCTCGTTTCGGCGTACCAGAAACAGTCACCACGGATCAAGGAAGGCAATTCGAATCTGAGCTGTTTCGTGACTTGGCTAAAACGATGGGTTCCAAACACATCCGAACAACGGCATACCACCCACAACCAGATGGTTTGGTGGAGCGATTTCATCGAACCTTGAAATCTGCAATAATGGCTGTCGATTCGAAGCACTGGTGTGATCAATTACCGATGAAAATGCTGGGATTGCGTACGTCTTTCCGATCGGATTTTGATTGTTCAGTTGCGGAGTTGGTGTATGGTCAAACGTTGCGGATTCCCGGGGAGTTTCTAGAACGTTCAAGTCAGGATATCGATAGAACGGATTTCGCCAAGTAATTGCGAGACACGTTTAGCAAGTTGAAACCAGGATCGACGCAGTCAAGAGGCCTCTGGTGCAGCCGTATGAAGGATCATTTGCAGTAGTGAAGCGATATGAATGAGTATAAGTGAGAATCCATCACCAGATCAGAATACCAAAATTACACTATCAGGACATAGAGTCAGGGTCCTGGTGTAATTGGGGTTGGGAATATGTGATGTGCACTGGACAACAGCGCGCACCTGGATACACCCCTGCATCAAAAGCGACCATGTTGATTTTAGTTAGTAAGTTTGGGACAAGGGAGAAATAAACACGTAGTAAACTCACAAACGTTTTTGATTTATTCTATCGCGGAGTTCTCCTTCCGATCCCCACAGACTCAACCATGTATTCTGCAGGCAATCGTAGCCTATAACAGCTAGACAGCGTTGCCAGAATGTTTTAAAGCTTATCGGTATCAAAGGTTTTAAAAAATCGGTATTTATCGGTATTTACTATTTTAATTAATTTTATATTTTTGCGTTTCTGAAAGCGAAAGTTTTAATTTTTTGGAAGAAAACTCCGCAGAATGTTTGAATTAGCTTCTGGAGGAAGCTGAAAACAACATCCAGAGAAAGAAGAAAGAACCTCTCCTGGAGGAAATTTGAGGAAAGTTCTGAGAGAAGTCGGAACAACATCCGCGGAACTTCCAAGGCATGAGAAACTTCTGGCGAAAATTTAAAGAAACTTTCCGGAAAAAATCGGATTTCACATTCAAAGGAAGGAAGAAAAGTTTCGCAAATCAGAAGTAAATTCCAGAAATAGCCATTTCCAGGGGAAGCCAGAAGAAGCTCGGAAAAACCTTCCAATAGAAGTCAAAAACCAACTGGACAAAATTCCAGAACTAGACGAAAGCAATTTCTGGGAGAAGTTTAATTGAACTTCCTGGAGAAAACGGAAGAAACTTCCTGGACACGCTGACAGAAACTTGATAAGGTGGATTGGAAAAAAAAATCTGGAGGAAGTCGGAAGCCAGAGCGCTAACCGGATAGTTGAAAGAAACAAGGACATAATTCCGGAAGAAAGAGCTCTTGGGGGATGTTCTAATGATCCAGCAAATTTTCCAAATGGTCATAAAACATCCCTGAAGACCCCGCAATGCCCCTGAAGTTTTTGGAACATTTCTGAAATGTACTTAGGAATATTCCATATTTCCTCGGAATTCCTTAAAAGTTCTTGTAATTTTCCTTAAGTTAATAGGGCAGTTTTGAAGTACTCTGATCATCTTTGAAATACTTGGAACTTCCCTGATTATAATGAACTACCGGAATATCTCTAATCAACTTTGAAGGTCTCTAGAATTTCTTGAAGATTACGAAATGTCTTAGGCGCTCTCACAATTTTCTTGAATTTATGTAACATCAGCATTAAAGTTCTCTGATCTTCCCGATTTTTCTAATTTTTAAAAGACACTGCCATTAATAAGCACGGAACTTCCCATAACATTTTCTCAAAATGTGCTAATGTTCATGTAACTTCCATTATGTTTCTTAAATTTGCATGAGTACCTCGGAACATTGCTGAAGTTTTCGGAAATTGCCTGAGTTTCTCAAAACTCCTTTAAAATTTCAGCGATTCTCTTGTAATTTATTGATCTGTCCTGATGTTCTCGGAGCTTCCTAAACTTCTCTCAATTCTCCTGAAACTAATGGAACTCTCCTGAAAACCATTAAATTTTCCAGAAGTTCTTTGCGTTGCGTTGCGTTGCGTGTTTAACGGAGCAATTCGTAGATTGCATACTGGCAACTGTGATGCATCAACTTTAACGTTCTTATTCTGATTACTTAAGGAAAACTATTTGGGAGTGAATAGTTCTCCAATCAAAGTTCCGAACAGGAAAAGCATGACAATTACCATTGCCAGCCACGTCCATCTTCTCCGTTACGGGGAAAGGAAGGATATTATTGATGTAGCATCTACTTAGATAACGCCAAATCTTCTCTAAATTTTCCAGAAATTCTTTGGACTCAAAAGTCTGAACTTTACTGAAGTTTCAGAACTTCTTAACTGCAGCTAGTGTGGATCCGCGATTAAAATATGGAAACATCCCTGAAGTTCCGGGAAAGTTGAAAAAACTGGCGGGAAAAGATGGAAGAATCATTCGAGCGAAGGCGGAAGAAGCTTCCAAGGGAAGTCGAAATAAGTTTCCGAGAGGAATTGTAAAATAATTTACGATGTAAGGTGGAAGAAAATTCAGGAGGTTCAATAATGTTTAAAAAGTATTTCCCCTCGGAATTACAAGAAAGAACCATCGACTGTTTATCGATTCGTAATTTTAAAGGCTCATTTTTTTTTTAGATATTCAAAAAGATACAAGTCTTTCACAATAATTTTCTCCGAAATTCTGAGCGCGGGCAGGCAATAATCATTTTGATTATTTAAAAAATCTGTATAAATCGGTATAAAACCTCAAAAATCGGAAGTCTAAGGAACCTTATCTGTATATCGGTATTTAGTTCAGAAATCGGTATAAATACCGATAAATTGGTATATCTGGCAACGCTGCAGCTAGAACACATTTCAAGCTGAACAATGCATTAGGTCCTAAGTAACATTGATCGATTCTCTTCATCGACTTTCTCATTAATTAATCACTAAATCTTAAGTACTGAACCGCTTCTTGTCGTGTCTGTTGTATAAAATGCTATATAATAGCTTCTGTTTCATCGAGCTGTGTGCTGAAAATAGCTGGGAATATCTTACAATGATCGTGAGGATGCAAAGAGAAAGTCGACGAAAATAATCTGACCTAATGCATTGTTCAGCTAGATTTGTAGCTAACCGGGTTTTGTAAATCCAAAGTTCGATGCATTATTTAATTAAATCGTCGGCACGGACTATCCAGCAGACCTAATATCACACGCGGCATACAAGTCTACGGTTTGCTGGCCGGCGGATTCTGGAAAAGTGATCCTGTGAATGGCTATCCTATCCAGAAGAGGAATGGCACGTGACCCACGAATTGTAGGGAAACGCTGCTCTAGTTAACAGTAGTGAGGGCTAGGATAATGTAGGACACTCCTCTCAAGTTGACCATCACGTCGGCATGACCCTCCCTGTTAAAATAATCACACTTATAATTGTAATCAATTGCGTATTTCATCATCAGAAAGATTGTAAAATACCCATTTGCATGCTGAAAAGTGCAGCTTACTTCAAGTTACAAAAAACAACAAAGCACAGAACAGTAAGATGCACACGCTGACATCAGCGTCTAGCCAGTGGTTTGCCCCGTAGGGACAGTGTTTGAGAAATGGAAAGTGAAATTATACATATACGTTACACGAAAACACGTCCTGTTATCAGCAAACAACCCGCACACACACCTCCCCTAACAATCGCTCTGGCGATATGTGGCGATGATTGGGCTAGGCGCGCACTAATCACTCTAAGTCCCCTTCCTTTCAAATGGTCTTGAAAATCAGCAAAACAAAAGTACGCGGCGGTTGATTCGCGCTTGCTTCACTTTAAGTGATGATAGCTGCCCAACAGCCAGGTGCTATTTGCCATGCATGCGTTAAGTTTACCATGTCACGTTTTTCATTGCTGCCACTATACAGCTGTTCGCCGGCAAATATATATATATATACGTATAAATAGATCAATCGGATGGATCACATGCAATACACAAATTGAGGGATACAGAATAGTCAATCGCGTGCTTACCGTAAGTTTCTTCCTCTCCTTAATCTCACGTTGTAGGAGTTTCTTCTGCAGCAACTGCCGGCTGGCGATGCTGGCCGGCGAGTTGAGATTGTTCTTGTTGATGAAGCTGGCTAGCTCGTTGATCGTTCCGAACGCCCCCGGGAGCATCGCTTCGGCCCACAGCTTGATCACCTTCCACGATTCCTCATCGGATAGCACTTGATCCTCCGGTTCAGGCTTCTGTGTCGATCGGAGAGGAACAAGACGAAGCTCATCAATCAGTATGTAAATATGCTGTACTCCGCTGATTTGACTTTCAAATCGATAACAAAAAAAAACTTACCTCACTGCCGCTAGCACTGCTGAGATCGGGTAGCTTGGGAGGGGCCAGTTTGGTGGCTTTACGCATAGCCGCGTAGCAGTAGCGCGAGTGGCCACGTGTTCCTAATCGCCGCGGCCGGATCCCGGGGAATACTTGTTTCATCACTTTTCCGAAATCTGCCGTCGACAGCGGTTTGATGTCGATTCGCTCGCAGAAAGCTCTGATTTTTTTTGCATACGAAAATAAAATAAAATTAGCTTCTCTTGCAAAACGAGACGATCAAATTCGCCAACGTAGACAAGGTTGGACTGCCAATTGCATGCTCTCAACTTACGTATAGTCATCGTAAACCTCCTGCTTCGGTATGGATACGTTTGCGTCGTGTTCCAGGTGCGATCGGACCCAGTTGATGGTGTGATTAATCTCGGAACGGGTGCCCAGCGGATTCTGAGACTGGCGCAGGGGATCTGTGGGGAGAAATGGATTTGAGTTGCATACATCCACCGAGCTGAGTATTATGTTAACTAGAGAGTTACCTGTCTCAGGATAGCCGCCGGGCATACGCAGGTACAAAAGTAGTCTTTCGGGTGGCCGCAGGATGGAGATCTTCTCCAGAATCTCAACGATTTGTTTTTTTGAGTTGTCACTGTGGGAAAATGGTTGGCATTAGAAGTTGAATCAGATCAGTTGTGAAGCTTATGAAATATGGGCTGTCTTTAGTGAGATGAGCTTAAGGTGAACGGCAGTGGAAAACTTATTTCTGATTGGATCCTACGAACAGTTCGAAATTTCAAGAGCACAAATATCAACTCCCGCACACGGCCAATCAGAACAACTCAGCGACTGAATTCAATTGACTCAGGGCATTTTCTTTCCATACGAAATTTACTCATATTTGGGAAAACCAACAGGAACTCATAGCTGAGTAACACTGCAGGTTTTCCCAAATATGAGTAAATTTCGTATGGAAAGAAAATGCTCTGAGTCAATAGAATTCAGTCGCTGAGTTGTTCTGATTGGCCGTGCATAACAAACAATATAGCGGCGCCGGTGATGTAATGGTAAGTGTGGTTGTAAGTAAGGGAAGTAACGTTCGTCCCCAGTCCATGAGTTGATGGTCCTTGGCGTTGGTAGCATTGGTACTCAGTACGGAAAAAATAACAAACAACAATGAAATTGGAACTCCATGTTTGCTGCAGTGCAGTGTAATCTCATGAGCGATGTCGCAACAGTGTCCGAGATTTTTGCTCCAGAACTCGAAGTGATAGGGCATATGAGCCATCCTGAAGTTCATTTTTGGACTCTTCAAGAAGTCACCTTAATAACCCGAAAAGCGATGCAATAAATGCACTGAAGAAAATACTACACTTAGTCAAGTTTGAGCTTTTTTCACCAAAGTAGACTCCTACGCTAAAAAATAATCCCTCAGATTGTTGTTCGCACAAGTCAGTAAACATAAAAATTGTTAATTTCGAATATAAAACAGCACTATATTGTACAATAAAATATCGTATCGACGTACTAGCGGGTCATATTCACTGCGGTCTTTTGTGATATGTCCGTGTTCTTTGTTTGATGCATGCCGTAGTAAATCATTACTATGCTAAAGAAATCAGCTATTCGTTTTAGCTCTTCTGACTTCTCACTACTCCTCATTCAATTGTGATGTTTCGCATCATTCGAAGCGTTCTAGGACCTTTCCAAAGACGCGCCCTCTTATAAATCAAAAGCATCTGGGTGTACAGTTTCCGGGCCCGTGACTTTCCCACCGTATTTTGCCGTTCGTCACGATTTGGAGCCTTCTGCACTTTGTAAGTATGAAGTCCCTCCCGGTCCTTGGCTCTCTAAATGAAAGACTTGGACAGATGATCGAAGCATTGGGATTCCGCTGAAACAATACAAAATCTTGGTGGTATTTGGTAACTGCGTACACGATTGCGACGCCTTCACAGTCCGGTCCAGCCAGTGTGAGTGCACGAGAAGCATGTTGCACGACCTTGACCGATCCATCAGGTATCTTGTGACTCAGTGTAGCTCCAACTCCCACTAAAGAAGCATCAGCCGAAACAACGATCGCCAGGTCTTGATTGTAGTGCGTCAAAAGGAGATCAGATGACAGGCATTTTGACGGCCACTCAAACTTCTTCCCGGCCTTCAACAGTTCGTCGGGAGGATATCGTAAAGTTCGCATGCCAAAGATAATAATAATGTATTGCCCCAAGGGACGAGCGAAGGCGAATACATTCCGAATAGATTAGATTTTGGCTGGATCCGCGCGCAATCCTTGCATGGTCGAGAAACTTAACATTCCGAACACGATGCTTCCGATGTGAAAAATCATTGCTCATCAATTTATCGATAGATTTTAAATCCATTGATACCGAATGAATCTTTAAAGTCTGTAGTTTAAAATGGCGTAAATAGAGTTGAAATTCGTCAATAAATGGCTGTGCTTTAATTGTTCAAACATTGTAAGTTTGCCGTTACACATTTTACCGGAGGCATCGTGTTCGGAGCGTTAACCTACCGTTGCCCAAAAGAACACTTCCGGAGCAAATTGTGATTAGGGTGAAACTAGCCAAATGTAAACAAATGGAGAAAAACCGAGCAAGTTTGCTCGTATTAATTTATTTTTTAATTGAATGTTAAGCAATATATTTTTCTATTGGAATTACATTTATGATCGTTAAATTGATCCCTTTTTATTTGTGTTGAGTGTAAAATCACCTTTTTATTCATTTTTTTCTTAAAACCACGTCATTTTTATAATTTGGCCCGTAAATGCGGAACGTTAAGAATACGACCTCATTAAATCGCCCCGAACATGTATGACAGCAACAATTCGCCCAATACTATGCGCCTTCCTTTGATTTCCTTTATAGTGTCACCCTTCACTTTTCGCCGTGTTTACGTTTCAGCTAAAGATGAGCCTTTTACTATTTTCACTTTTGTTGGTAAACAACTTTGATTTCGCACTTTCATTGAAATGTTTTAAAATCGCGCCCTGTACTATAGTAAACAAAGCAGGGGAAACATGTCAGAAGCGTCTAACTTGAAACGTAAACAATGACTTGGATCGTCGATTTCTTACGAATGACAACACACCTACTAAAACTACCTAAATCATCTGACAGAAAAATGTTTGTTCTATGAGCTGGTGTAGTCATATTCCGTGGATGTGTGGTCATTCAAGCGGAATCGACGTTCAAAGTCATTTTTTACGTTTTGAGTTATACCCTTCTGACATGTTTCCCCTGAAAGGAAAGAGCATAATCTATTTTAAAGCTTGTTTTTAAATAAATTTTGTTTCGCCTTTCATTTTGCACGGATTTTTCGATAGTGGAACATTTAAAAACAAATTGGGGGGGAGAGGTAGCTCATCGATTCTTCCGGTTCGCCTCCTAGCATCGTGTACCAGGCGATAACCAGGGTAGTTGATCGATGGCTCGATGACGTCATTTCGTTGACGTCTGCAGTGGGAAATTCTCATAGCAGGCGTTGACGATGAGTTGTTGAATAGCAACTATCGTGGTAACTCACCGATTACCTGTCGATCTGCCAAATTTGGAAAGACGTCTGCATTGAATTGTCTCATATAATAATATTCCGCCCACTATATCACAAGAAATTGCGAGTAGCTGAGTGGAATGGAGATAAGTTAAGTATTGGGTACAAGTCTCCCCTGGGTGGTGCCAAAAGATGAGCGCAATAGAATCATCAAGTTGCCATAAGGCACGGAATGAGATTTATGGTAAAATCGCTTGTGTATCGTGTATTTTGCGAAACTCGTTGTTGTCGTTGGTTCCGGGTTTGAATGGATACACAAATTTGAGCAACGGTATTATGTGATATGAGGGGCTCGGTGGCCTTATAGCAACCGTTTTTGCTTACTGAGCAGAACATCATGAGTCTAATCTCAGGCCCATCCACATTCAAGATTCGTCAATCGTTTTATTTGTTAATATGACTACATGGTAATAACAGCAACTCGGTGATTAAAAAGGTGCTCGTCTGCCTAGTGACAAACGTTTTTGCTTACTGAGCAGAAGACCGTGGGTTTAGTCCCAAGCTCCTTCGCGTTATATGATCGTTAGGACATCAATTCAGCTTATCGTTTACCAAAACGAACCCTGCTGCAAACCCAACCCTCTTATCCAACATCCCAGTGATTCCTCGTGGAAGTGCAGAGGTGTTCTCGGCTTCCATCAAAGCGAGTTTCACGTCAACACATTCCTACCCATTCCTTTCTTGACCTGTGTTCGGGCGCGGCCGGCGCTGGTATTGCCTAATTTAAGATCACCAGTTTTTACACATTGAGGATGATTGCTAGCCCCAAGCATCGTCTATTGGTTCTCTGTGTAATTACAGCTGATCTGGCAGTAACAGAGTAGCAACCGTGGGCGGTCAATCAAGCTCAAGCTCAAGCTCAAGCTCAAGTGGAACATTTAAAAACAAATTGTTTATGATTATTTGTTAGTAGATTTTTGCCTGGTCCATCTGATTACAGTAAAATCTCCGTTTGTTTACATTTAGCTAGTTTCGTTCTAATCACAATTTACTCCGGACTTGTCCGCTTTGATGGTGAAGTCATATTCTTGGATGCGCTGAAGAATTGCTTGCAAATTTTCACGTCATCGATGTAACCTGATGTCCAGGCTGAAACATAAGCCCTCTGGATGATCATTGAGACCTCTAACTGCTCTGAAAAAAATCTTCTGAATGTATCCATTGGAGGTGAGATTTGAGATTTATATTGTTAACCCATCGTGGCATCACCCTAAAACATATCGTTTTCCTAGATTAACACCTAGGGGAAACAGCTCTATTGTTGCGGTACGTTAATACGAGGTCTCCATACACAACAATAGGCTTCTAACGCTGCTAACGTACCGCAACAATAGGGCTTTTTCCGCTATTCATTTATTTTTGGGGTGTCCCCGGCGTAGTGGTTAGTAGCCATACCTCTCACGTCAAAGTTACGAGTTCAAATCTCAACCCCAGATATGTCACGAATGACGCAAGAATGTTAGAGTGACCATAACAAAAAAAAACACGATTCAAAAGCGCACATTTTAAGGAGATGGGTACTTCTCAATACAAAATAAATAGATTGGGTATCTCGTTTTTAGCGTGTAAATCCATGTTGCTGCATGATTACAATTGCAGGGTTGTTACGAGAAATTTGAAATTAAATCCGCGCCAAATCCGCGCGGGCTTTAAATGAAAATCGCGCCAAATCCGCGCGGACTTCATATCAAAATCGCGTAAGTCAACCGAAATATGACTTGCGCCCAGGTTCAGACGAGAACAAGAAATAACCTAAGATATAGGATTGCAGGAGGACAACAAATACAGTAAAGGAGACTTCTGTCAGCGATAAACTTTAATTTTTTGTCAATGATATAACAAGCACTTATTTTATTGAATGTATGCATCAAAAGAGTAATAATCTTCATTAGCATTCATTGTAGCCAATTTTTCCTTTTCTGATTTTTCCTCCTGCTCAATGTTACCTTTTGCTTCAAAAGAATTTTTAGGAACGATGTTTCTGGATTATTGGATGTCATTGTTCTGATTTCTTTTTCCATCAAATTAAAAATATCTTCTTTTGCCTTTCTTTTCTTTTCGATCTCTTCTTCTTGTCTT